AGTAAATAAGAAATAATGTATCCATTAAGAATTGATGTTTACTACGTACTATTATAATATATTTATATGTCAATTTTGAACTCAGGCAAACACACACACAGTACACTGTATATGTATTATTATATCTAATTTACTTATTAGTTTTTAGGCATGTAAATTTATACGTGTGTAGAAGAAAAAATCTATTAAGATTTATGAGGCACAGTATAATGTACTGTATATCTATGACTGTATAGTGCAACTCTTAATATTTATATGTACAGTACATGTACAAACTAAATCTCTGCCTCCATCATTTGCTCTCTCTCTCTCTCTCCCTCCCTGCCACCCTCTCTCTCTCTCTCTTCTTACTTGGAGGTGTGGCTAGTGAAGCCATGTAGGCATAAGGGCTGACAAACCCAAGATAAGGAGTAACTCCTGGTTGGACTGTTGGAGATCTGGTCCTGAAATACGGGCTTGATGGTCTATTAGGACTATTAACTTCCTAAATAAAGAGAAACAAGAGAGAGAGAGGGTGGAGGGAGAGAGAGAGAGAGAGAGAGAGAGGGAGGGAGGGAGGGAGGGAGAAAGAGGGAGGGAGAGAAGGAAAACAGGAATAGGAAGTACATGTACATGTGCATATACATGTACACATAAATTGGGTCCAATAAATACATGTACATGTACATACATTAACACATAAAAGGAAATGTATGTGTCATTCATTCCTATACAACAGTGCAAGGATTACCCTCCAGCTCTAAAGCTATTTTTACTCTAAAGTTGACACAAGGTAATGTACATAAAAGAAATCACTGACAAATTAGGACAAGATCATTAATGTAAGCATTTGATGAACAGAACACACTAACACACTGTAGTAGTGTATGTATGTATGTGCATTAGTAGCTGTAGTGAGACTCATTATAGTGATGTACTAGGATATGGAGTGATGTGTGTGTGTGGTCAGATTAAAACAATAAGTGAAGGAATAAAATAAGGAGAGAGAGGGAGAAAGAGGGGAGAGAAAGAGGGGGAAGAGAGAGGGGGGGAGAGAGAGGGGGAGAGAGGGAGGGAGAGAAAGAGGGGGAGGGAGAAAGAAAAAGAGGGGGAGAGAAGGAGGGAGGGAGGGAGGGAGGGAGGGAGAGAGAGAGGGAGGGGGAGAGGGAGAGGGAGGGAGAAAGGAAGAAGGGGTTGCCTGTAACAGATACATCACGAGTAGGAGGAGAAACGATGTCTCTTTGATAGTTTCTCTCTCATTACAAAACAGTTATACAATACGATGGATATTATTTATCGACACTTTAACTCGCACCTAATAAACACACACACACACACAAATGAAGCAATGCATTACACAATGTATATATACACATACATATGTTAATACAAATGGCAATTAATTATATATGATTATGGGTACTTTAATATTTAATTTAAGTTCATATATAGTTCGTACAATAGTAGAGCTCATCAGGATTTTACAACTTGTACTATTACAATAAGATTATTATTACTAATACTATGATTGGGCTATACTACAATCAAAACAAGATTTGTTTTATTAAAAATACACTCACAAATCGAACCTATCCATACAGAATAATGGGATATCAAATATCATGTACATGTACATTTCTGGCACTGTATAAACAGCATGTAAATGTACATCCACCATAGTTCTGCCTATGGTGGTCGGGGGTGATCGGGACAACCACCTCAACAAATGAACCAACCAGTTCATCACTTAGACCAACCATCCAATTAATACTAATAACCATACATAAAGCATGATACTGTAGTCTACTAGTATGGTATACATAAATTTAAAAGGAACAATATTAGTCTCCAACCACCTCTAATTTTATTCTAGGCAGAACCCTCCATGTACATGTACATCCTTCATAGTATGATTATTGGTGTTATCGCTACAGCTGGTACCTGTAAAGCATAAAATACGTGTACATACACATTATGTGCATGACTGCCAGTACATGTACTATTACTAAACTTTGACCCCACAGTACATCCTCAAGCCATACAAGCAAGATACAATCCAGTAAATGGACCAAAACAGGAACAGTTTTACTATTTAACTATTACCACTTAAAATGTAGACATGTAACTAAAGTCTTAGCCAAATGCATATAAAGTAACAGGCTTTATATGTACATGTACAGGAGATCCTGTAATCTTAGTAAGATAGATTATGATCAATCCAAGCCTGATATCTGCACTATTATGACAGCTACAATCCTTTCTCCTTATTTCGAGCAAGGAGAGCCTTTCCTTACAATAACAGTTATCATAAAAAGACAACTATCATACACTACCAGATGCCAGGAGCAATTTTGAATCAGCTACCACTGGATTTGATTGGCTTTGTTTCATAGAAGGAATTCTAGCCTTCATTATAGGCTGGCCTAGGCCTAGCTAATCATATTGTGGTCAATCTATTGTACTACTAGATGTACATGTACACCTGTAGGGGGTGGATTGGGGTTTATATTAGTAGTGAATGGAGGGGGCAAGGGGACTAACTAAATACTGTAGGATGAGTTCTTATTCCATTCACATATTGCCTGCTCCATTCAACACTGTTAATTTTCATTCCCATTATACACGTATTTAATCTGCTAGTACATGTACATACTGAATAGTGAATGACATTAACAGGGCCTATAAGAGTAGTACATGTATATGTAAGCTAAAATAATAACAGCAGTAGGTATTGTAGCATTAATGAAATGGGATATACAAATCTACAATTACAGGCAACCAATAATGGCACTAAATGTAGATGTACATGTAGTACATGTATAACGTATGGTGGCGAGCTTCTTTATTATATAACTACTCCATCAATGTACATGTACATGTATAATACTGTATAGAATGCTGAATGGCTGCAATATGTTAAAAGGGAGTTTGAAATGAATACTGATGACTAAATGGACTAAAGTATTTTTAAATAGTATTGACTTACAGTAAATTCTTGGAAAATAAATGATTTTTTATTTTCTCTTTTTTTAAAGCAGTTAGTTGTCCAAAAGCCAGAACACAGTATTATAAAACAATTATAAATAATAAAATTAATAAAATTTAATCTAATCAGCTTGGCAAAACACAGCTATCAGGGCTTAATAAAATTTGCTGATACACACTGATGCAGCAATAGATGTATACATGGAGCCATTCAACAATACAATCACACACCATTCAACAATGTAAGTACTATCATGACAACAGAATGACAAGTAGGAAAACTTCTAAGTACTACTGCTTGATTACAAATATAACTTAGACAGTGAATGTGAATATTATTATTATTAGTAAAACATAACAATCCAGTTATTGTAAACGTAAAGCGGCCATACATGTAGTTTTTACATGTACATGTATCATACATGAAAAGGATAAGAGCTCTTAAGTCTCCAGCTGTATTATTGTATTAGTGTTTACACAGCTACTGATTATACATTTTTAGCAAAAACGTTATTGCAATTCAGGTGTCGATCAGTACTAAATCCGTTAACCAGTATCATACAATAGTGAAATGATTAATACTAACTAACACTTGTAGCCGTACAGGCTCATTCTCTTCCTTCCCATTACTACTATAGTCCTTCCTTTTAGTTTAATTCTCATTCCTTACCACACACACACTCTCTCAAGTTGGGGAAGTTTCAAAGTTTATCCTTTGCATTCACAGTAAAGCTAAAATCATCAAAATAATACAGTATGTGCTTGAAATACAGGCTCCATTCTTTCTCTCATAACTCTATCTCAAAACATACACAATCTCTCCTATAAATATTAGAAGATGCTAAAGCATTTAGGCTTAGACTAATCACTATACAAAGAATAATCGACACTTATAAAATGACAATAATACGAAGCGTGTAGCCCTCTTCCTTCCTTCTCTCGCTCTCTTTACCTTCGTAAGATTCAGAGCTTTCTTCTCTCTTCCCCTGTCTTGGCGAGGACTGTCCTTCACTTCAAGGACTTCAGTCATGACGACCGGAGCTAATGATAAACAAATTAAATGGCAGGAAGGAAGACTAGCAGAGGTGGCCAAGTTGAGTAGGGTCTCTCTTCTTGCTCTCCTTAAAAGAAAGGTGACATCTGAGTCTGTCTCATGATCAATATGACTCCTCTGCACTTGTCAAAAGACACAAAGTACACTTGAAATCACTCCCACAAGAGCATTTGTTTTAAAAGTGTAAGCAACCAGGAAGAAGGAAGTACGATACTATCGATCAAAGCCATGCTTGTGGGCGGGGCTAGTTATTAAGATATATTTCGCTGCTAATTAAATTAAATAATTATAAGTAAATCATTTTCTTTATCTATTACACTGTAGTACAATTGTATTTAAAATGTCTACAGCTGTATTTATATACATGTAGTCATCTCTGAAATAATCTCATTTCTAATCATAAATGAAATACATTAATACATAATATTACAAGCACAGGCACAACTCTCACACATACAATAATAATGTACTACAGTCCATGTAGCATGTGTACTATACAATATAACGACCAATACATGTGTATGTGTGTGTGTTCAGTAGAACTATAAGTTGAGGGTGTGTGAGAGCAGGTGTACTTATAAAAGAGAGAGAGGGGGGGAGTGGGAATTGACAGGTGGAAAATATAAAAAGTTATAATAATAAGACTCTGTGTGTTTTGTATCTGTTTCTACTACTAAAGGAGGAGATCTACTTGTCTATCTTTACTAGTTTGGCGCAGTTTATTCCACGATGAGAGGCTCTCTCTGGCTTTACAAATATACCGTAGTTTGTCTTGCAACTGAAGTATCGTTTTCCATTGACACTGCCATCATTCCTACCAGCTGGTGGAGGGAGAGGGGAGAGAGGGAGAGAGGGGAGAGAGAGAGAGGCAGAGAGACAGATAGAAAAAAAGGAGGAGAGAGTACAAGTTCATTAATAGTAATACAGAAAACATTAAAATTGACAAAATACACTTATTCAATGAGTACATACACATACTGTACATTAAAATATAGATACATGTATGTACATATGTACATATGTACATGTACACGTGTCATAAGCTTTTGTTTACTTGGTTTCTTAAGCTCTACTCCCAGCCACACTCCAGGAGCAAAGTCAGTCTGTCCTATGTATTGAACTGTACCCATTTCCTTATTAACAAACACACTCATCCCCTACAAATGAATGAATGGATCATTATAGTTTAAATAACAATGACAACACACATTTAAACAAAATAAAAGTCAATAATAACAAATAATTCATTAACAATGCACTAGCAATCAGTGAACCCTCTCCCACCCTCTTTCATCTACCCTCTCTTCAATTTCTATCTCTCTCTCTTATTCCTTAGATGTACATACATGTACATATAAAGCAATTAACCTACATTGTATAACATAATGTACATGTACATATACACATGTATATCTTCTACATACATGTATTTCTCTTACATTCCTTCCTCTCATTAACTGCCATATGCCCATGCATTAGACGCATTAAATCATAGTATTCATAATGAGTTTTAAATAATACAATTCATAATGATTGACGACACAAATTGATGATACATAATATGGCATTGATGGCTACAGGTACATGTAAGTGTTGCATGTACATGAAACAAAGGCTTAAATAAAGAGAGAGAGAGAGAGGGAGAGAGAGGGAGAAAGATAAATACCGTATAGAAGGAAATTTTGGATGGAGTTAAGCTTGGCGAATTGCTAAATTTTGGTGATTGGCAAATTTGTGGCCACATGTTATTGAGCATGCGCATAACAGCTCAAAATGGTGGATTTTTATTTTGGCAAACTGCTATCAAAACGTGAAAATTAACTACCTCCAAAATTTCATTTCATACAGTATGTAGACAAGAGAGAGAATTTAAAAGAGGGAGGGAGGGAGAAAGGAAGAGTACAGAGTCCAGTACATACATAAACATTATTAATTAATTACCTTTTCTAATGTAATTTCAGGTGCTACAGCCAGAGAGAGTGACGTTGGCAAAGGGCTACCATATTGACCTTTTGATGATTTCATTTGACTACAAAGGAAGTATAACAAGATAATGGGACACAGTGTATAATTAGATTAAGGTATAATCACCTAATTTACCTTAAACTCTGCCTTTATGTCTACTTATAAGTACATGTGTCTGTGACATTACTCTTAGTCACTCTTCTGTTCCTATCCTTTACTCTCTCTATCTCTATGTCCTTCTCACTCTCCTTAATGTGTACATGTACATGTATTTATAGTACACATAACACCAGCTGCTTATAGTATATGATTTAAACTTAAAGTGTGTGCATATGCGCATGTACATGTACATGCATGTACGTGACCACAAAATGATGTAAAGATGTTGTACGACAACTAAAAGCTATTCTTTAACAACTTTCTATCCACAGACTTTTTCTACACATACATGTACAACATACATATAGTACATGTGTCTCTGCCCTCCATCTTTCTACAAGAACCCTCTCAATCTCAGCCTCTACTCTACATGTACATGTACAGTGGGGGACCTCCAATAATGAAGCTTCTTCTTTTTTAACAAAAACCTTTACACAATGAAAAAAAATTAATGTACCAATTAAACTTACATGTACCTCCCTATATCAATTATAAACTTATACTGTACATGTACATGTATATGTATCATGCAATGAAAAAATTTGGTGAAGTAAAAGTTTTATTAATCTATACTGACTAGTACTGTATATGGATGTACATCTAACTCTGCCTCACCTAAATGATACTCTTATGTATTATGAATTAGCTTATTAATCTATACTGACTACTGTATCTTGTACACGTATATGTACATGTACATGTAACTCTGCCTCACCTTGTTGATACTCTTTTCTTTCTCTCCCCAGGAGGATTAGGTGAAGGTGACAGTGAGTTCAAGCTGATCCCGGTATTACTGTTAGAATAGTCCACGCTGTCCTTTGATCTTATCTTGGTTAGTTTTGACGGTGAGACGAAGATCCCGTGATTTGGTTTACATTTGAAGTATTGTTTGCCTCCTTTGCTGCCATCACATGTTCCTTTAGGAGTATCCAATTCAACACCTAACCAGATACTGTAGGGAAAGATAATAATAATAATAATAATAACAATAATAATAATAATAATAATAATAATAATAATACATGTAAACAACAACAACAACAACGATACTAATAACAAGACATATATAATGAAAAGATACCATACAGCCAGAAATATTGACATAGAAATCAGTTTAAAACTTTATAATTTGTGGATTTCATATTGGTGATATAGCAGTCGTACAATTATAAAAATTTATTGGTCCCAAACATTTGTGTGAAGTTGTTGATTACGTGAGTGTGTGTGTGTGTGTGTGTGTATGGTTGCTGACTTGTAATATCTTAATATTCCACTATAATTTATCTAATTACCTTAATCTAATTATCTATTCATGATTACATTAAATTGTAGACATTTTTGTTTTCGAAAGGTGTGGTGGTTGGAGCCAGACTTGTAGTGACCTTGTCTCAAGAATTATCATTGTAACAAAGCCGAAAATTAGTCGAGACACGATACAGCAATCACGCTTTCTGTACGTGAGTGCTTGCACATGTCACCGTTACCCATGTTTCATCAAGTCATAAAAATTTAATCAAGTTCAATTAATGAACGCTTCCATTTAATGGACAGCACCTAGTGTACCAATTACATTCCTTACTGTATAAAATAACCTCCACATAAAGGACACCTCTGTATAACAGAGACACTTTCTAGCCCCATAAAGTCTATTATATAGAGGCACCACTGTACATGTGCATGTACATGTAAATGAAAATTAAAGTACATTTAATGGAAATTTTTAGGCAAGAACTAATAGAATTCAGACATACATGTACATGTAATAATTTTATATTGACTTTATTGCAGTAATATGCATGTGTGATTGTGCATGTACATACACGTATACATTATAATGCTAATAGAGCTGATACTATTACTGATACTAGAAACAGTGTGAAACATTAAAGGGCTCAGCCTTGTAGATTAGTAGCTGCTGGAAAAGCAGAATCTCTAACTAATGTTGCTGCTAGAAAACTCCTGACTTAATTGTCTGTTGCTTTAAGCCTTGCTAGACTGACTTTGAAATAGCCATGAGATATAAAAAGGCTGGCCAGTTTAGTCCAGTCAGTGAGAAAGGTGACATTGTTTGACTTTCATAGTTTTACTGATATAAACTGCATGGTTACTACACATAGCTATTATAATGACAAGCAAATACTTCTCTCATGCTTGTGTACTATTAGATGCATGTAATGTATAAAGTACTGTGTTGTATGAATCTACACCAGCAGAAAAGAAAAGAAATAATAATAATAAAGAAGAGGAGATGATATCATAAAGAGAGAGGGGGAGACAATGTGGCAGAGGAACAGGACATAGTAGTGTATGAAGTAGTAGTGTCAAGTGTCACTAGTAAACTAATTAACATTGTTACTTTAATCCTATTAGCCTACACCCTCTCCCAATCTCTCTTTATAAAACAACATATGTGCATGTACACATATGAGTGGGTAATGCAATATTGGGTATCATTTTATGCCTACAAACTAAGGAGTAGTCGAATAAAAATACCACATACATGTACATGTACACTGTACATTATATGGAAGTACAGTAGCAGGTTCTATAGATTGAGATTTAATGTCTTATCCAGCCTGAAATAAAAATCAATTTCTTTAGTGCAACAATTAAAGTATCATAAAGCAATAATTGAAAATGAAGCTTGAGATGTTAATGTTCACAAATTATTCAAATTATGAGTCATTATTGTTATATGTTTTCCTTCTGTCTCCCCCAGCACTCCTCCTCCTCCCACTCACATTATTAATGAAATATTATACCACATAAATCAAATGCATAAAGTTTATTAGCACACAGCAACTGTAGAATAATGTAAATAATCCCAGTAACATGTACATGTACATTATTAGTGGAATATTACACCATATGGGAGGAAATTTTGGAGAGAGTTAAATTTGGCAAATTACTAAATTTTGGTGATTGGCAAATTTTAATTTGGCAAATTTGTGGCCACATGCCATGTAGTATGCGTATAATGGCTCAAAATGGTGGATTTTTATTTTGGCAAATGGCTATTAAAACGCCGAATTCGCCAAATTTAACTACCTCCAAAATTTCCTTCTCTACGGTATATCACATAAACTAAATGCATAAAGTTTATCAGCACTGAGGAACAATAGAATACTGAGAAGTAAAATAATTAGAGTTTCTTACAGGATTTTGGCATAAGGCTAACTTTAAAAATTCATAGAAAATTTAATTTTGATCAGAATCAGCTCAAACTTTCTATACAACATAAGAACATGTACATGTATATGCATTAGAAAAAATTATAAAAAATAGAGAATTATCACCTTTTTAATTTTGATGAAATTTGAATGATGACCCTGTACTATAGTACACGGTCTCAGACCAAATTTCACCAAAATTGAAAAGGTGAGAATTTTCTATTTTTATAATTTTATCTGATACATATACATGCTCTTATGTTGTGTAGAAAATTTGAGCTGATTCCGATCAAAATTGAATTCTTCACAAATTTTTAAAGTTGCTCCAAAATCGAGCCAAAGTCCCTGTACTATTAGTAACGCGGTAGCGTTACTAAGTAGGATTCACCCCCAAACAAAATGGCTGCCACGACTTTTGCAGCCTTGCTATACCTGGAAAACGAGCTCCTATGCTTACCAGACTTTATAGAGGACCTTATCTTGACCAGAGGACTCCAATAGTACAACTAGCGTGGCTCTAGACCTTGTATAAGAGAAAATCCAAAAATCGGCGAACCGGCCGTTTTGTTCAGCCACCTTTTTTCATCTTCATCATCATCATCATCTTCTTCTTCATCATCAAGTCCTGTCAATCCAGTTGTCGGTGTGTATCTCAGTATCAGTTGGTGCTACAAGGATAATTCTTACACCAATCTACTCCAACAGTCTATGCGCAGGTCCATGTCCCATCAGATTATTCTTCAAGCAAGGAAAAAGTGATACTGTGACTGCTGGATCGAGCCATCTTAGCTGCATGCCGCCATTTTGTTATTTAAAGAATCTTGCCATGTGCTCCAAAATTTGGGTGTGGTCGCGCATGCTCAGAGCTAGAGATCTGCAGCTCTGGAAGAAGCAATTAATTTTTTACCAAGCTATGCTTGGAATCAACTTACTGCAATACTTTAGTGGAGGTTTCCAGCTAAAAGAAGGTATTAATTTTACATGTTACTGTTTTATCAAGTGTGTTATTTTATTTTATTTTAAAAAACAAACAATTAATTAATGTTATGACTTATGATATGCAATGATAATTATGAACTTGACAACAGCCTGGAAGAACAGGAATAGCAGGGAAGATGGACACTCTTAGCTCACAGATTCTTGAACAAGGACTTGTGTCAAGACTAGTATTAGTTTCACTTGTCATCAGGATACTTGATATTCCTTCAGCATGTCTATTCAATGCTGTCTCTCATAAATGTTATAACAATGATAATAATAATAATAATAATAATAATAATAAAGAAAATTATTGTTTGTGTAAAATCAACAAGTATCACAATTGCAACTAAAGAAATACTATAAATATTATAAAAAAATCAACACAAACAAGAACATAAAAAATTTAAAAAAACAAGATGAAGTAGGATTCCGAACGACCGACGAAAATACGAAATGAAAATCCTACTCGTGATGCAAATTCTACTCTACATTGCAAAGTGATT